CCGCCCCCCTGCCACTGTTTTGCCTGTGCCCAGCTTTTCTCACACACTCAAAGTGATGAAGCAGCCGTGTTGTTACGGAACACAGACTCATGAAAAGAAGGTCTCAGTGGAGTCCAGAGTGGCTATTGAGACAAATGTATTTTCAGCTACCAACCTAGGTCCCACTGGGAATCTGGAAAGGTTCACTCTCACAACAGAATACAAAGCATGAGCACCATAGCCCACCTCACCTGCCAGTGTCTGCAAGCTGGTCACTGCGACTGTTTTGCAGATCAGTGTAACAATAATTACAAAAAGAAGGCTGGACAGGAGACTGTTTTCTCAAGTCAAGCAAAAATTCAGAAGAAACTAGCTCCAACCTAACCCCTTCCTACTATCACAGGCCTGGCCTGGAAGACCCCTGCTGGCCACCTGACCTGCATCTGGGGCACCTGCCCAGCTTTGCTCTCTGGAGACTTGAAGTTGTCTCATAACAACTTGAATGGGGAAACTACTAAGCGATTTTGAAAAGCAAACATATAACAATAAGCAAAAAGCCACCCTCTTCTCATACAGGGCAGGGGGTCCCCAGAGACAGGAGAACCAGTGTCCACTGCCTTCCCCCCACCCCCAGGGCAGTTCTGCCTGCCTGTACTTCAGAGTGCCTTGAGCAGGCTGGCCAATCCAACACAGAGGGATGGCTCAGACCTCAAGGCTGGCTGGCCTGGCCACGCTCCTGGGGCCTCCTGTTCCTCCCCCTTGGTACCACCTCCCTAGATGCAGACTCCCCAAAGCTGAGGCTTGCCACAGGCTTCCCCTTTACCAGCTTGCACTCTACTCAATTTTCAGCCCCTTGGACTTGAACTCGATGTGGAGAATCTGCGACAGGCACCTTCCAAACTCCTCCAGGACCATCTGCTCAGCCAAGCTTGGGGAGCAGCGCTCCTGCTCTGCCTCCTCGCCCTGGGCCAGCAGGCAGGCACATGTGGCCTCCACGACTTCCCAGGAGATACAGGAAAAGGTCTGCCTGAGGAGAGACACAGCAAGCAACTCAGTGCCTTCCCCATTCATCAGGGTGGTACTAGATCACTCTAGTTCAAGGATCAAAGGCCTCTACAGGGGACACCTACATCACCTCCCCTCTAGGTCCAGGGAACGTCTCAAAAGACACTGCATAATACTGAGTCTTTCAATATCCCAGCATGGATGGGGGAGGGGCTCATGAGGCTCCAGCCCTCTCTGAGGAGTGATTGGCAGTTAATGGCTGCTGGGGGGAAAAGGACATTTTCTTCAGGGATATAGCCACTGGTAAATAATCCATGCCCCAGTAAATAACCACACCCTACACACAGGTGAGAAGCCCTAATTAAACACAAATGGTCATACACACACACACACACACACACACACACACACACACACACACGTGAGGAAGACTAGTTCTGAAGAAGGGGGTCAGTAGGGATGGGGTGGGGAAAAAGAGAGCAAGAGGGAGACTATGATCACAACACATTCTACACATGCATGAAATTGCCAAAAAGCAACTTTAAAAAAGGAGCCATATTCCTTTCTGCTAGTAAAAGGGGGTTGGTTTGTGCTGAGTCCACAGGCCCAGGCCTATGACCCAGCTTGGGCTATAGGGAGAGATGCTGTCTTAACACACCAGAAGTGAATAACTAAATAGAAGGTGTGAGGGCCGGGCTTGGGAGAGCAGTACAGGGATCCTGCATCACCTGGCAGAGTCTAAATGTCTCAGTGTTAAAGCCACTGACTGACAGACCTGGAGGCTCATGTGTTTCAGTGACAAAGCCACAGGTCACACAGACCTTGACGATGTAGGACTTCTAGACAGTTCCCTGCATAAGTCAGCAGAGGAGAGCTGGAGTGTGACAGCCAGGCTGGGGGTCTGCATGTTCTTTTTGCAGGGCAAAGAGACTCTCCTGTCACATCTGTGGGTATACCATGAGGACACCTTACCCTGGACACCATGAAGAGTCTGAAGAGTCCTGGCCTGGTCTGGACCGTTTAGGGCTGGTCATTTCCTCGCTGAGCTCTGGAGCAGGGAGACTTACCCAGACAGCTATGAGCAGAGCTCACACTGACACCCTCAAACATCAGAGGAGGCTGGACCCAGGATGGGGAGAGCACCATGGAGGATGCAGGCTTGGTGAGAATACATCTCACATCCTTAACCAAATAAGCCTGAGTTGGCTTTGCAGAATGAAGTTAGTTCATTTGTGATACCAGAATAACCAACTGCATGGCACTTAAAGGAATGTTCTTCCTCTGATTAGGTAGGTTTTGGGGTGTTCATGTATGCACATGTGTGGTGTATTGTGCAGGTATATGGACATGTATAATTGTATGCATGTGTGGAGGCCAGAGGTTGATACTAGGTGTCTTCCTTGATCACTCTTCTACTTTTATTTTAAGATGAATATATATTATTGAGTTGGGAATCCCTGTCTTTGCCTCCCATGCATTGGGATTACAGGTACCTGCCATAGCCACCCAGACTTCACTCTGAGCTTGCATAGAGAGGCTTTGGCACTGATTAGTCTCCCCAGAAGGTCCACTCTAGTTTTAAGGATAGTCTCTCATTGGTTGACCTAGAGCTCATTGATTGGCTTGCCTGGTTAGCCAATGAGCCCCAGGGACCTGTCTCCACCCCTACTGGGATTACTAAAATAGGCCATCAAACCTGACTTTCTATATAGGAACTAGGATTTGAACTCAGGTTCTCATGATTGTATAGTAGGCACTTTACCTATAGAGCCACCTTTCCCAACCTCTGGAAAGAATATTTTTAAATAGGCAAATCAAGTCTAATATATGATCAAATGATGTCTCAGCCTTTGGAAACTGCAAAGATTAGTGTGGTTTCAAAACTACCCAATGGGAAGACATCCAACCACACAGCCCCTTCAGCTAATAGTTTAGCACATGTCCAAGACATATTAAAGAAAGGTCAGGTGTGGGCTGGGCACAGTTCAGTGGGAAAGTGCTTGCCTAGCAAGAGGGGGGTCCTGGATTCCATCCTTAGCCTGGAAAATGGGCAGGGAAGAGGAAAGAGAAGAGGAAAGGAAGGGAAGATGGAAGGGAAGGGTAGGACCAAGCATTTGTTGCCAGATCAAGCAAGACTCTGGCCTCATTCAGAGACATCAGCACACCAGTAGTCCTGCTAACAGTGTGGGCACAGCCTGTAAGTACAGACAGGGAAAAGGGAAGGAAAGGCCAAATTAAGAAGCCTAGTGTGTGTGTGTGTGTGTGTGTGTGTGTGAGAGAGAGAGAGAGAGAGAGAGAGAGAGAGAGAGAGAGACATCTTCCTGTCCCTCCTGTCCTTGTCCCCTACACGCTCTAGCTAATGCAGATGTGGTTTCTAAGCCCCCCCCTCAGAATCACCCCTGTCTAATTGTTCAGAGCACCTACCTATTTTTTCTCAGTTTTGGAGGTCCTGAGAACTTGGCTGGGGACAGATGGTGATTGCCCTCAAAGTCCCCAGCCTCCATATAGTGGGGTGTGTTCATCAGCATTTTTCGCTCTGGGCTTTCCTCATAGTTTTTGCAAGCAATGCATTTGCAAATTGAAGAACACATGATTTTGGCCTGATAATAGAAAATGCTTTGTTGAAATCAGGATCCACCCCCCAAACCCTGAAGCCATCCAGCCTTTGCCCATCTGCTTGATCAGATTAGTTCAGATTAACACTAGAGGCTGTTCACCAGGGAAGGAAGCAGACATAGCAGCATTAGTGAATGGCCATAATCCAAGGACTCTAGAGGTGGAGGCAGGAGAATCATAAATTCAAGGTCACCATCCTTAGCTAGGGATCGTGTTCCAGGCCAGCCTGAACTACATGAGACCAGCCTATAAAAATAGAATATTGTCTTAGTTCTGTTGCTTTGATTTAAAAAAAATACAAAACCCTGAACAAAAATAACTCAAGGGAGAAAGGGCTTACACTACAGCACTCAGTTCCAATGTACAGTCCAACGTTTCAAGTCAAGACAACAGGAGCTTGAAGTAGCTAGTCACATGACATCCACAATCAGGAAGCAGAGAGTGATGAATGCTGCTGCAGCCACTGCTGCTGCTCAGCTCCTCCTTCCCTCCACTTACACAGTCCAGGACCCCAACCACGGAGTGGCACTGCCCACAGTGGGTGGGTCCTTCCTCCCACCTCAAGATAATCCCCACAGGCACATCCAGAGGCCTGTTTCCCAGATCACTCTAGACCCTGTCAAGTTGACAGCACCTACCATTACACTTGGGAGGGAAGGACAGGGATTGTGAATCTCTTTTTACATTACAGTAAATGTCTTCTAACCACAATGCTATTTGGATGCCATATTGTTCCAGGAAGCTGCCACTTGCCTCATAACACTCACAGTAGTTCTTCAGGCAGCCTGAGCGCTTACAGTTACATCCTTTGCTGTGTCGCAGCTTAGAAACTCCCAGGCGGCCTTTCCCCATTTTTGGTTGGAAAGCTTCAGGATTTCTATCAATACATGCCTAAGAGAGAACATAGGAACCATCAGAAAATGTGTGGGGTCCAGAAGCAAGGCTCCATGCAAGGGAAGGCCACCCAGGGGAAGCCACTGAGGTAGCTGGGGCCTCAGGACATACCACAGGCCTTGAGGCTTCTGTGTGGCCATGACACACATAGAACTGTGATGCAGCTGGGTTCAAGAAGCACTGACCTTTCTCTGCATTTGATAGCCAGGCATTTGGTACTATACACAATAATGCATGGTGAGGACACAAAGAAAACCAGGCTGCTCTCCCAGCATGCATTGCATCTTGGCTTGAGGCAGGTGAAGCCATGGCATAAAACAGCTCACACCAACCCCCAGCCTTCTTTGTGCTGCAGGTTGTCTTCATCCTGTTGGCGAGGTTGGGAGCTTAAAACTGTAAGGGTGTCACATAGATGGTATGTACATGGCTCAGAACAAGGGTGAGGCCAGTATGACTCCTTCCACTGAAAGGAATAACTGGTCTTTCCCTGTGGTGAGTGGCATTCTGTTTTCACACAGCTGGCAGTTGCTATGTCCCACCGCTGTTGGGGGTTTGTGGCCGGTTTTATCTATTATGAATGAAGTTGCTAGGAACTTGCATGGTAAGTCTCTGTGAGGATTTCCTCTAATTTCCATAGGCTGTGTGTTAGGGTGTTAGGGAGGAGTTATGTTGGGTGACATCTAGGCAAACGTGTAGCTGTCAAGTGTCTGCTAATCCTTTCTCAGAGCAGCCTTATCAAGCCATGTTGCTATCCCTGACACATGAGAACCCTGATCTCACAGTAACAGATTGCATTCACTGCTAAAGAAAAAGTGACAATTGACTGCTATAAAGCTCAGGGGCATGACCAATTTCTTTTGTCCTCTGGGTCTGGCCATATCAGAATTTCTAAGACAGTTCTAAGTGATATATCTGCAACTCAAGAGGGGGAATTAAATTGTTCTAGGGAAAAATTAAAACCAGACAGATTGATCAAGTCTCAGGGTCATTTTGTTTCATTGAACAGGATACCCTGGAGCCTCAGCTGAGGGCTCCTGAGGCCCCTGGAAGAGTTCCCCTGGAGAAGCTGCCAGGCCCAGCCTAGCTATCCCTCCCTTTCCCTGGTCCCTGCACCCACAGAAAGACACATATGCAGCAGCACGCTGCAGTCAGCCTGCAGCTTTATTGCCCCTTGAGAAGGCCTAGGTCCCCTTGCACCTGAAGCTACAGGAATGAAAGTTTAAAGTCTCTGAGGCTAAACCAAGTGCTTCCCACCCACAGGTGATACACTGTACCTCCTTGCACAGTGCTACCCAGGGTCATGAAGCCCGAGCCAAGACAGACTGTGCTCTTGAGTCAGAGCCTCCCAGACTCTGCTGCAGCCCTTAAGTGCACCGACTTAAGGGTGCACTTACTACTCCGACTGCTGGGTATCACTACAGCCTGAGCCACTGTATCTGTCTATGCTTTTTCCTTGAATCAGACTCTGGAGACAGTCACTGACAACACTGGGAAAGCTCTGGCAAGCGCATTACCTTAATGGCTTTGAAACGCTCAAGCTCATGGCGCAGGTTGTTGCAGCTGCAGCTGGTGCAGAAGTCCCCGCTGGCGAAACAGTCGCAGTATCTGCAAGGGAAAGGCTCACTGAGTCCTCAGGCACAGGCAGCCTGAGATAAGACCAGGAATATGAGGACAGGGGACTCCATTTAGGCATTTCCTTTGGCCTAAAAGGAGGATTTCATATGAAAATCAGGGCTGTAATATCTTACTAACACAGAAGAAAGACAAACTAGTAAAGCCATTGGTTATAACACGTGTATTTGCAAAGCAGCACCGTTTTCAGGAAGACATGTTGTCTATCATCTCACCCCCTTGCCCTCTGCTCTCCTCCACTCTTCCTGGCACAGCAGTAAGGGAGCTACCAAGTTGCCACCCCTTCCTCTCAGAGTGTGGCTTCTCTTTCTGGGTAGCACTGCTCCCCTCTGCCAACATCCCTAACCTGTCAAATTAAGTTGGCATAGCAACATCAGTGGCAGCAGGGAGAAACTGGGCATGACACTCTCCCTGAACTCAGGCTCCTGTACCACGATCATCCAGGTATTCTTGTACAAAGTACTGGCATCATCCACCATCAGTCTACTTCCGTTGTTGCCTGGGAAACCCCATGGACAGCCACCACTTGAATGTGTTCCCTCTTTGTCAGTGAAGCACCTGTCACCTCTGGTGCATGACAGTAGCCACCTGTAAATCTACATTGCTCCAGGGTGGTGATGGCAGTGCTTTCTGGGTCACCCTGCCCTGGGCTTATAGAGAGGTAAAATAGTGTTCAAGGACATGGGTGGGATGTCCTGTTCCATGTTCCCTCCATAAGCAGCAGACCCTGGAGCTGGAGAGTCCAATTTGGGAGCCACAGCTCCAAGGAAAATTGAAAACATACTTTGGGGGAAGCTCATTCATGCCAAACAGCACAGAATTCCTTTACCTAACGCCCACCCACTCCCCAATGATGAAACCCACAGGAAAAAGCATCCACAGAGCATGAGGTGACCAGTTGAGCAGAAACTCAAGGCACAGTGACTCAGAAAAGCTGGAGCCTCAGATGCCAGCACCGTGGGCTTCAGTCTCCAAATGACCCAGTGTCCTAACAAGAGAAAGAAGAGGGAGTATAGGCCTGTCACCAACTCTCAGGAGAGGGAGGCAGGAGGATCAGGAGTTAAGGACCAGTCTGCTTCCTAGTAGGTTTGAGGTCAGTTTGAACTGCAGGAGACCAAGCCTGTCACTCCTAGCACTCGGAGGCAGAGGCAGGTGGATCTCTATGAGTTTCAGACCAGCATATTCTGAATTTTAGGATAGCCATGGTTATAGAGAGACCCTGTCTTGAAACAAACAAACAAACAAACAAAAAACCCTAAACAAAAAAAATCTGCCCGGCAAACCATTTACACTCATTGTATAAACTGGCTCCCATTTCAGAGTGTACCCCCAAAGAGAGGCCAGGGAGAGGCCCCTTCTTGCTCTGTGAAATGATGGAGTAAAGATTATCCATATAAGCAGCTGCCCCTGTGTGACCTGTATCGATGACAGCCAGGAAGAAACAGTGTGGCACTACCCAGGTCTTGGAAAAACAATGACAGAGCTACAAACAGCCGGGGGAACCCTGGAACATGCACAGGACAGCAGAGAGTGGAGGAGAAGCCAGGGGCCATTACTGATGTACCCACAGGAAGATCAATGGCCCTGCTCGGGAGGGGAGATGACCACTGACCATTCAGCAAAGCTAATTCTACAGTGCAGCAGGAAAGGCATCTTACACAGCAGCATCTTGGATGCTTGCATCAAAGGCAATAGCTTCCAATTTGAATCCTTACCCAGCCAGAGCTATTTTGGGTGGCCCTTGCATAGTGGGTCCTGATGGGAAGGCAGCTCCATTGACAGATGATGGGAGCGCTCCATTATCAACCTGGATGGAGGCAAAACCAAGAATGGTCTCTTCAGAGTGTATGTGAAGTGCCAGCAGCAGCCCCTACAGGTGCATGTCACAATCCCATGGCCAGGCCTCATAACCACAGCAAGTCCACTGACATTGAGCCCATAGGCTTCTCCCATCTTATAGGTGTTCCCAGGCTTAGGACCAGCGCCCCAAGGTACAAAGTCTCTGACTATGGGGATGATGGGAACAGTCAGGATGGGGTGGGGCCTAGGGCCAGCAAGGACAAGCTAGGGAGCAGTACACACAGCTGTCACTTGAGAGGCTGGTGACACTTGCATTGGAACACTTTTCGTCCACAAACAAGTATTTGAAAATACAGTTACAAATGTCCACAGACTAGAAGCATTTCCAAAGTATCAGGTTCTCAGAGTAACAAAGAGACCTGGGTATCTTAAATCTCACTGGTAAACACTATTTTATTTTTTATTTTTATTTATTTATTTGATTTAGTAGCTGGATTCCATCCCTATACCCACATCTCACCTGACCAAAATCATCCCTGGCTGTCAATACTCAGATGGGTGTCCTCTATTCTCTCCCCACACCTTTGCTAGCACATCTCTCTGATCTTGCATTTTGTTCAGCCATGGGGACATAAGGGACTCCTAACTAATGCTGTGACTATTGCTCTTTTCCACAGCTCCAGACCCTCATGTCCCTGTACAGGATCTGACACAGGTGTGAAGGGACAAATACATAGTGACTTATTTCACTATTGATATTGATGTTTTTTAATATAATATGTAACCCTTTCTGGTCTTGAACTTGTTATATAGATGAGGGTGAACTTGAACTCCTGGTCCTCCCATCTCCACTTCCCAACTGCTGAGATTACAGGCATATGCCATGAGGCCTGGCTCTCACTGTAAACTGTGTACCCTGAGAAGAAATAAGTGCAGCAACTAAAATGCCAGGAGACAACATCAAGTGTGTTTTGTACTAAATGACTTACCTGTGTGATGAGATTTAATTTGGCTGGTACTGGCAGAAGTCTCCCCACTAAAGTTGTCATTGGCTTAGGGAGATCTGTAGCAAAACAATGGACATGAACTGACAGCAAACATTGAAAGGTGTGAGTCTACCATGGGCAAGGCTATTTAAGCTTATCCTGATCTTAGTTGTTTTGTTTCTAGATTTTTATACATATGAGTGTATGTGTGAGTATATTATCATGTGGGTACAGATGCCCACAGAGGCCAGAAGAGGGTGTCAGATCCTAGAGTCCAAGGTTACAGGAAGTTTGTGTACTGCTCTTGACTGCTAAGCCGTCTCTTCTATCCCTTGCTTTTAGACAGGTTCTCATAAAGTCCAGACTCAACTCACCATGTATGTAGTCCTTGGCTCTTGGTCCTGCTGTCTCCACCTCCCAGTGCTGGTTTACACACATGGGTCACTACTCCTGGATTTCGTGGTTTTTCTATAGACCCTTTTGGGTCATTGAAACTTTTAAACTTTTATAATTTTTGCTTTTTTTTTTTTTACCATAAAACTGCATGGTCTGACCATTACAAAGGTCTACTATACTGAAAAAATGTTAGCACCCAGTTTCCAAAACCATGTGTCAAGGTGCCCTCACATGGCAAAGTAAATTCACTGGACACCTTGAGACATTTTTATATTTTCAATGAAAGCCTGGTGATTTGACCCGTGACTTCAATCTGTGCATTCCATTTTTTTGCACTGCCCTAAGTTAGGGTATCGATGCTTTCTAAGTTGTCTAGACAAAACCACTTATACTTTGGTTCAAAAGCTCCACCAGGGAACAGCCCCATAGACCAGATGGATCCTCATTCTCCACTCTGCAGCCCCCCAGCCTGCATCTATTTCCTGCCCCTGGGCCTCTGTATCCTTTCAGTGAGACACACTGGAGACCATAGATGTGATACAAGCTGCAGGAAGCAACAAGCAGGGAAGGGTTGCAATGCCTCCACAAGGACATTGAACTGGAAGACCTTCTGTAGTTCTCTAGGATCAGGATTTGGGCATGAGAAAACCTGCCTCCCTGCCCACTGAGCACCACAGGCTTAGCTCTGACTTGTGGGAGATAGATCTGAGACCCAGGATGATCAACAGTAGAGGATCCCCAGGATAGGCCCAGCCTCTGGATAAGAAGATCAAGGAGGGAGTGGCTGAACTCGACATGCCCTGACACTGTTGGAAGGTTACCTTCTATCACAGCAGCCCGAGCCCCTATGGCTGCTTACCCAGAGATGTTTACTGCCAAGGCCAAGCAGGGCTTGGTTAGACACAGGCCCAAGGCCACATCATTTCATCTTTCTCTAATCATTCATCAGCTTTAAAGTGTGGATCAGGACCTTTGGTGTCATTTGTTAATTACCGTGTCAGTGTGAGAAGTTGGATGGGTGGCTATCAGACAGGTCACTGGAGAGCTAGCTTGGATCTCCTGACAGTGAAAGCAGAGGGATCACCAGCAATTGAGAGCACATGTGAGCAGCCTTGCCTCGAGCTATCGGGTAGGCCAGGCAAGCCATGTCTGCCCTGACTAGAGGAATGAAGCAGAGCCATCCTGATGAGAACTTCCACTTGCTTTAAACAAGGCAGTGGAGGAAGCCAGACAAGAACGAGATTTGCTTAATGTGATCTGGACAGATTAAGGTATGGTGGTTGATTTTGTTCCATTCTCTGACTATCACTGTCCAAGAACTCATTTAATACACCAATGGCCTGTTTTACTGTGTGTGTGTGTTGTGTGTGTGTGTGTGTGTGTGGTGTGTGTGTCTGTGTGTGTCTGTGTGTGTCTGTGTGTGTGTGTGTGTCTGTGTGTCTGTGTGTCTGTATGGGGCTATGGTGCTTGTGTGTGCACTTGCATACTGGAGGCTAGAGAAAAACCTCAGATGCTATTCTTCAGTAGCCAGCCACCATTTTTTTTTCTTCTTTGTGGTAGAGTCTCTCACTGGTCTGGAACTCTTGGTGAGTAGCCCAGGCTGGCAGCCAGCTACTGACAGCCTTCTCTTAGCCCCTTCTCACATTCTTAGATACAAAGCTTAACAGACTCATTTGCTGCCCTATTCCTCACCACCTCCAGTGTCAGCCAGGGCAGCTTTTGTGCTGTGGTACCTGACTGTGGGAAACTGCTCTGGTCCTCATACTGAGGAAGCAAATGGAGTGCTTTGAGCTCCCTTGCACCACAGTTGTCTATGCAGAGCATCTGGGCACCTCCTTTCAGCTGACAGATCACCTGAAATGACATGGTGAAAAGGGCAAGTGACTCTGGTTTGCAGCAGGAACAGAGGAAATCTGAGAAGACTTTTCCCCCCTGGGGTTTAAGTGGCAGAAGGTGACTAGGTCTTCCTCTACACTAACTGCTGCTCCCTAGCTCCCACCCATGTATTCCATGTTTCCACATGATCACAGGTTGCTCCTGCACCCTCTGAAGGAATTAGTTGAAGGATTATGTGCCTGTGGACAGGGATTCCTTTCTAATGGCCTTCGATCCACAGCTCTGTGAACTGGGATTGGGTTGTCTCCTGAACCCCAATTTCGTACCTCTGAGACCCTTGGGTGCTAAGGACACCTGTAGAATTAGCTTTAATTTGCTGTCTGTTCTTTCCTGCCACAGAGCCAGGCTGTGATATAACAGGTGTTTTTTTTATGCCCATTGATTTTATTTCCTATACAAACAGTTAAGGAAGGTGAAGTCAATGACTGGAAACTCCTAAGAAACCATGTTGAACTTATGGGGCCTGAGAGACGCTGTCTGACCCCCATGTGGGTTCTGACCACTAATCTTTAGCAAGCCAGGTATATCTGTTCATTAGAGCCACCAATCCAGGCACTGGGGGATGGAGTGCCCTGAATGTCCAACTGCGCTAGGGTATGGGGCAGGAGTACTAAATAGGCACTAAGGACCGAGGTCATCTGAATAATGCTCATAAACTTGCTAGGAGAGGAAAAGCAGGTTCCAGGGCAAAAAGCTCATGTCATCCTGATCCTGGAGAAGCCAGCACCATGCACAGCTGTATTTTGAGGACAATGAAGCCATGTACTGGCATGTGCTTAACTGCAAATGGCCCACAGTGATGCCTTGCCTGGCCCTGGGCTGCACACCCCAGGAACAGATTTCAGGTGTTACCCTACAGTGTAGAGGGATTCAGAGTTCTTTGTTCTATGGCTTCTCGAAGGTTGTGGGAAAGCTCTGCCATCAGAACCTGGGGTTTCAACCAAGTCTCAGACACAGATGGGTACTATAGTGTTTGTACCCCAAAGACAGATTTCACAAGGACATTACTTCCAGTATTTCTGGGGCACAGTCTGTGCCTTCGAGCAGACCTTATCTGCTGAAGGCTCTGAGGCTGTACTACTTGTATAGGCCAAGCTCGGTTGAAGCACTGATGATGTCCTCTGAGTAGTTCTAGATACCTCTAGAACCTCTAGAACACGCAATGTCTAGGGCTAAAACGGTGGGAGAAGCTAAAGCTGTGGGAGAAGGAAATGACATTACACAGGTATAGTCCCTACACCCTACACACTATTGTCATTGGCAACCTGGAGGCAGGCAGGAAGGCTGTACCTTGGGCCACCAACACCGCAAACCTAGGCTGTCCCTAGACTGTCCCCACTTCAGTTCCTAACTCTGTATTCTACATGGACAGTTAGACTTTATGATGATTCCCCATGGGACACATTGGTGTTCCAATCATTATTTGGTTTTCTGCGGTAGGGCAGATATGAGAGTCTTGGGGGTGAAGGTGGATGGCTCAAGTCGACTCTCCCCCTTTGTAGATGGACAAGCAAAGAGTGCCAACTTAGCAAGTGAGCGACAGTGGTGGACAGGGATCTTTGACAGGCTGAATGATGCCAGTTTTTTCTTTTTTTGTATAGTTACCATAGGGCTGGAGTCTTTCTTCCGAGAGCAGCTGGAAGCTTCCTCTGTCTCCTGGGAGGATGGGAACTTGCAGCAGGATTCCTGAGCTAGAGGGGCCTGGAAAGCAGCATCTTCGGGACTGCTGCCTGGCACACTGCCACCTGCTTCCTTGATTTCAACCTGGAAAAGCAGTGGCCATGTCAGAGGACCAGGGACATATGCAGCAGTAGCACACAGAACACTGAGGTCAGAGCACTGGGTTAGCTCCAGAGCAAAGGCTACCATTGCCCTCTGGGCTGGAACCATTTTCCCTTGTGAGAAAGAAAGGGAATAAGTAATCCGAACAGTCCCAGGATGGAGGCCTCTGAGGATAGCCATTAGTCCCCTATATAGAGAGGACTAGAGTTAGGACCATACTGAGACGCTGCATCCAAAAGAAATAAATAGGGCTAGCAAGATGGCTCAGTAGGTAAAAGCACTTGCTACCAAACCTGACTACCTATGTTTGATCCCCAGGACACACCTGGTAGAGAAAATCAATTCCTGTAAGTTGTCCTCTGATCTCTACATGTGTACTGTGGCACATGCAGCCACACACAAATGAATAAATCTAATTATAAAATAAATCAGACAAAATTACATTTACTAAGAAGCAATGGGATTTAAAAGCTGAAAGGTCCCAATGATTACAAAATTTACATCAGGCTTGAGTGGTCCAAACCTTAGAAGACAAGACAGCGCAGCTAGATTTTGAGTGACAGCCTTTCTCAGCCGTTTCAAATTTTATGGAAATGCAGGAACTTACACTTTTTCTGTGCTTGACGCCTTGGGAACTTGTCAAGGGTAGTTCACTGGAGTCTTACTGAAATGCCTTCCCTGGACCCACAAACACACAGTTGCTGACCTCTCTATCAGCACCAAATATCAGAACAATTTCTTCTACAGTGGAAGTCCACTGTCCCCAGACTGAACCTAAATGCATGACCAATGAGTTGAGGGATTCACACAGAGAGAGTCAGGGGTGCTGGCCTAAGCCTGGAACCCGAGCCCCTTTGAGCTAGAGATATGGAGGAGCAGAGTCCACAGTCATGTGCAAGTACACGGAGCTCAGGGCCAGCCTGGGCTACATGAAACTTCACCTCAAAAATCCAGAACCAAACAAAAGGCCTACAAAACAGATGTTAGCAATTTACTCTGAATAGTTCCTAGAATAGAAATGAAGGATTCCACTTGTTTAAAAGGTAATTATACCTATGTCCTATCTTATAATGAAGTCTCCAGATGTTCAGAGAGAGATCTGAGAGATGGTGCTCTTATAGAAGACCTGGGTTCAGTTCCCAGCACCCACATGGTGGTTCACAACTGTGGCTAACTCCAGTTTCAGGGGACCTGGTATTATCTTCTGGCTTCTATGGGCACTGCATGCACACAGTGTGCCTACATATAAACAAATATTTTTTTAAAGATCTTTAAAATTTTCCAAAAAGCAGAGTGTCTGTTTTGTCACCCAATAATCTATTAAACCTGGATTATGCTAAAGGAGAACCTGTCTTCAATACTGGCTTATCCCCTTCCCTGTTCCACTCTGAGGGGAGGGAGCAGGGCTTAGGACCATCAGATACAAGGTGCCCGGTGAGCTCCTGCTGATGGTAGATGGAGCTGCTGGCATCTGGAAGTACTGAACACTCTGGGGAGGCCTCTGCTTTGGGATAAGGCTAAAGTTCCTTTGGGGAAGGCTAGAACCCTTCCCTGTAAATTAAGCAGGGAACAGGCTCTTGGACCCTGAGCTCCAGCAGCTGTGCCTTGACTGTACCAAGCCAGGCTCCTGTCATCTCCACAGAGATTCAAAACAAATATTCCACGAAAGGTTACTCTAGACCTGATACTGGACTGGATGAGAAACCCACTTTCTTTCCCAAACTGGGTTCTTTGGGGGTTAACATGTATGCTGGGCGTCTTTAAAAAAAAAAAAACAAAAAAACTCCTTCATTTTGGCAAGAAAGCGGAAGGACTGGGGATGTGGCTCAGTTGGAAGAGTGCTTGACTATGAACAATGTATAAACCAGGCGTGGTAACCCCAGCACTCAAGAGGTGGAGGTCACTCTCAGCTACATAGCACTTTCAAGGAATGGTAGCTGACTGAGAAGTCGAATTCATTCAGACTCCATTACATAGGTTTGAAGAAGGGTTCCTTATTTTACAGGGGAGGAAAACTCATCAATTAATGAACTCCTCAATAAACTATTTGGTGTGAACAAGGATGTATAAAATAAAACAAACCCAAACCTACAAGACTAGGCTGAAGACAATCTGCCAGAGTATGCAAAAGGCCCTGGGTTCTATCCCTAGCACCGCCCGGGCGGGGGCAGGGGGCGGGGGTAGGGACACGTAAATCCAACAGGCCAGGAAGGAGTGACTTTCTTTCTGGCTGTGTGATGCTAAGCCGGTGTCCATCACACCTATTGTGACGCCAAAAGTTAAAAATTCTTCTAGTGGGGCACAGTCACTTGCAGGGGAAAAGGCTGGGCAGGGAGACCGAGAGGTGCTCGAGAGGCACCCTCACGGTGCGTGTGTCAGCCGGGGACGCCCGACTCCGATAGCCTGCGGCTTGGGACAAGACCCTCGGGGTATGCACGCGGAGATACGGCGCGACCGCGCCCCCTGCCGGCGCTTACTGGGATCACGCGCACTCCTGCGCTCAGCGGCAACAGCGCGGGCCCGCGCGCACCGGGAAGTAACGACGATAGCACGTGCACGCTGTAGGCT